CAAAAAGGAGAACTATAGGCCAATCTCCTTAATGAACATTGATGCAAAAATCCTCAACAAAATAATGGCAAACCGAATTCAACACACATCAAAAAGATATTCACCACGACAAGTAGGCTTCATCCCAGGGATGCAGGGTGGTTCAACATACGAAAATCAATAAACGTAATAAACCACATTAACAGAAGCAAAGACAAAAACCACTTGATCATCTCAATAGATGCAGAAAAAGCCTTTGATAAGATCCAACACCATTTCATGATAAAAGCTCTAAGAAAACTAGGAATAGAAGGAAAGTACCTCAACATTATAAAGCTATATATGACAAACCTACAGCCAGCATTATACTTAATGGAGAAAAACTGAAACCATTCCCTCTAAAATCAGGAACCAGACAAGGATGCCCACTATCTCCACTCCTATTCAACATAGTACTGGAATTCCTAGCCAGAGCAATTAGGCAAGAAGAAGGAATAAAAGGAATACAAATAGGTAAAAAAACTGTCAAAATATCCCTATTTGCAGATGACATGATCCTATACCTTAAAGACCAAAAAACTCTACTCAGAAGCTTCTAGACATCATCAATAGCTATAGCAAGGTAGCAGGATATAAAATCAACATAGAAAAATCATTAGCATTTCTATACACTAATGAACAAACTGAAAAAGAATGTATGAAAACAATTCCATTTACAATAGCCTCAAAAAAAATCAAATACCTAGGTGTAAACCTAACAAAAGATGTGAAGACCTCTACAAGGAAAACTATACACTTCTGAAGAAAGAGATTGAGGAAGACTATAGAAAGTGGAGAGATCTCCCATGCTCATGGATTGGTAGAATCAACATAGTAAAAATGTCTATACTCCCAAAAGTAATCTACATGTTTAATGCAATTCCATCAAAATTCCAATGACACATTAAAGAGATTGAAAAATCTACTGTTAAATTTATATGGAAACACAAGAGGCCACGAATAGCCAAGGCAATACTCAGTCAAAAGAACAATGCTGGAGGTATCACAATACCTGACTTCAAACTATATTACAAAGCAATAACAATAAAAAAGCATGGTACTGGCACAAAAACACATGAAGACCAGTGGAACAGAATAGAGACCAGATATGAAGCCACACAACTATAACAACTTGTCTTTGACAAAGGAGCTAAAAATATACGATGGAGAAATAGCAGCCTCTTCAACAAAAACTGCTGGGAAAACTGGTTAGCAGTCTCAAAAAACTGAAACTAGATCCATGTATATCACCCTATACCAATTAACTCAAAATGGATCAAGGATCTTAATATCAGACCACAAACTCTAAGTTGATACAGGAAAGAGTAGGAAATACTCTGGAGTTAGTAGGTATAGGTAAGAACTTTCTCAATGAAACCCCAGCAGCACAGCAACTAAGAGATAGCATAGATAAATGGACCTCATAAAACTAAAAAGCTTCTGTTCATCAAAAGAAATGGTCTCTTAAACTGAAGAGAACACCCACAGAGTGGGAGAAAATATTTGCCAGCTACATCAGACAAAGGACTGATAACCAGAATATATAGGGAACTTAAAAACTAAATTCTCCCAAAACTAATGAACCAATAAAGAAATGGGCAAGTGAACTAAACAGAACTTTCTCAAAAGAAGAAATTCAAATGGCCAAAAAACACATGAAAAAATGCTCACCATCTCTAGCAATAAAGGAAATGCAAATTAAAACCACTAAGATTCCACCTCACCCTGTTAGAATAGCCATCATCAGCAACACCACCAACAGGTGTTGGAGGATGCGATGGAAAAAGGAACCCTCTTACACTGTTGGTGGGAATGTAAACTAGTACAACCACTCTGGAAAAAAATTTGGAGGCTACTTAAAAAGCTGACATTGATCTACCATTTGATCCAGCAATACCACTCTTGGGGATATACCCAAAAGACTGTGACACAGGTTACTCCAGAGGCACCTGCACACCCATGTTTATTGCGGCACTATTCACAATAGCCAAGTTATGGAAACAGCCAAGATGCCACCACTGACGAATGGATTAAGAAAATGTGGTATTATACACAATGGAATTTTATGCAGCCATGAAGAAGAACGAAATGTTATCATTCGCTGGTAAATGGATGGAATTGGAGAACATCATTCTGAGTGAGGTTAGCCTGGCCCAAAAGACCAAAAATCGTATGTTCTCCTCATATGTGGACATTAGATCAAGGGCAAACACACAAGGGGATTGGACTTTGAGCACATGATAAAGCGAGAGCACACAAGGGAGGGGTGAGGATAGGTAAGACACCTAAAAAATAGCTAGCATTTGTTGCCCCTTAATGCAGAGAAACTAAAGCAGATACCTTAAAAGCAACTGAGGCCAATAGGAAAAGGGGACCAGGAACTAGAGAAAAGGTTAGATCAAAAAGAATTAACCTAGAAGGTAACACCCACGCACAGGAAATCAATGTGAGTCAATGCCTGTATAGCTATCCTTATCCAACCAGCAAAAACCCTTGTTCCTTCCTATTATTGCTTATACTCTCTCTCAACAAAATTAGAATAAGGGCAAAATAGTTTTCTGCTGGGTATTTGAGGGGGTGGGGGGGAGGGGGGGGCGAGTGGGTGGTAAGGGAGGGGGTGGGGGCAGGGGGGAGAAATGACCCAAGCCTTGTATGCACATATGAATAATAAAAGAAAAAAAAATAAAAATAAAAATAACAACAAAAAAAGAAAAAAGAAAAAGAAATAAATTAAAAGAAAAAAAATTTATGATATAAACCAGCAGTTCTTAAATGTTTTTCTCAGTTGTAAGGGATGTAAAGCATTACATGAAAAAAAAAAAAAAGATCCTAAAGCCAAACTGCCTTGTGAATTTATGAGAGAGATACAGGATACACAGAATTTGCTTAACATTCCCATGGGCCCATCCACTCTCTGTGCTTTTTTTTTCCCTTAACATAGGACAAGAATTCAATGAATTTGTTTTGAGAAAAGCTCATTTATATCAATATTTTCAAACAGATACAAATTCTCTCAGTATAAGTTATCAGTGATTAATGCAATGCACTTAGACTCTACCAGGACAAAAGTTGTGTTTGATATTATTGGTTGGCAGTTGGTAAAAACTAAACATAGAAGATCATTAGTTCATTATCAAAAGGAACCTTTTTTCTTACCGGTTTCCATCCCAGAGGGACAAAGCCAGGACCAATAAACATGGCATTGAAGTAATTATAAAGAATCATAACAGTCCAATTTATCAACATGATGAAATTCACACTTCCTCCAGTAGTATGTAAAGGCCAATACCACAACACAGAGTCAATCATGGCCATCGTAGAACATATTGCTATAACACCGAGGGCTATAATGGGACCCCAGTGACACAGTCTCTTTAATTCTTGGAGATTTTCAAACTTAATAATTGAGCAGAATGTACCCATTTTGGTGAAGAAGAATGCCTTTCTACTCCTAAAGAATTAGAGGTTTTCTTTTTCTGTGCACACATTTCCATGTGCCACAAAGTCCATGTGTGTTCTTTAATTGTCATGCCTTCAAGTTATGGGATGTTACTGCAGACTGTGCCATTTTTGCTTAATATTCAGAGCTCTTTATCTTAATTAGGAGAATCCAGTATCTTGGTGTGAAACCCAACCTAAAGAAAACAAAGTGGGGAAGTTCAGTAAAAAAATCTGTTTTACTTCAAAAAGCACCTAAACAACATCATCTCACAAGTGCACGACTATGGGATGCATATTATCAAATGTAAAAAATAATTACTTCCAACTTATCCAAAACTCAGTTCAAGTTTGCATACATGATTCTAAAACAGCTTTATTCTTTTGCTCTAAACTGGTCAGGGGACTCTGAATGTCCAATTAATCAGTGACTAGGTTAAGAGGACAAAGAAGTTTAAAGCTGGGATGCAGGGCCTTAGAGTTGATCTAATGCAGCTTCCCATTTTCAGACATTATTGGTTGGCTTAGAGAGGCTAAGTGATTGGGCCAAGGTCACAAGTATGTAACAGCTAAGCCTAAAATAGGAACCAAGTCACGGCACTCCTTTTGGGAAGTTTTAAACTGCCTCTTGAGGGGCTTTGATAAGTGTGAACCAGACATGGTCGATGCCATCCGTTTGTAGTTGCCCCCCACCCCAAACACCAACATTAATATTCTATCCAGACCAAAAGTAAGGGAGAGAGAGTGGAAGCAAAGAGACTGCGAGGAGAGGAGAGAGGGTGTGCGTGCGTGTGAATCAAGACTGCAGTAGTACATGAGAATAGGCAAAAATGAGAAGAACTGAGGGAAAAAGAACTGCCTCCGGGAAAGAGGAAGGGCGTGGGAGGCAGGACAGCGAGCACCCGGACGACTTCATATGAGGGTATTCTGATTGGAGTTAGTCGGGATGAGGACCTGGGATATATGGATAACAGGCATTCTGAGAAAAACAGGTAACGGATTCCTGCGCAGCTCATGCCGCGACATCGTGCCTCAGTTTCCCCACCCGTATCGTGAAGCACCGGGGAGAAACGTCCTAGTAAGCGAGGCTGGTCTCAACATTTGGGAGATTCTGGTCCCACTCGGGTGGGGCGAAGACCACCAAAATCGTGGTTACATTCGCGGCCGTGATCCCACCTCTGCCTGGTTCTTGGTGCCCGCTCCTCGGCCATCGTATTTCCGGGACGGCCTGGGCTCACCCGGAACAGGTTTTCTCCTCCTGGGATAACTCGGTCATAAGCACTTCAGTCCAGAGCAAGCAGAAAGTCAGTCGCGTTGCCGAGACACTGGAGAGCGGGTCTTTCTCCAACCCGTGCGACTCTCAGCCAGCGCTTCGCCGCTAATCTCACGCTGGGGCCCCCTACGTAGTCAGTGCTACAGCCACTTCCGGTAGGCTCACGACATCAAACTTCCCCCGGGAAGCATACTTCCCTGACTTGTATTTTGGGGAGCCCAAGCCGTTTCCTGGGAAGTGAAGGGGACGACATTAATTTCATTGATTGCTGAGAACCAGAAAATTTTTGTAGGTCTTTGTGGAGGCACAAATGTGGACAATTTTCCTTAGCGAATTTGTTAATGTTGTGGGCAGAGCGGAAAATAAAAACCGCGTGCAGCCCAATTTCCGGAGGACAGAGATTTCGAAGAACAACCAGGAAGCCGCTGGGCTGGGAGCTGTCCCCGGTTTTCTGCTCTGCTCTTGTGGGTGCTTCTAGGGGTCTCTACGCCGCGGACTCCTGCCCCGCGTGGCCCCTGCTCCCGACCTAGGCTCCGGTCCGGGTCGGTCACAACGGAGCTGCCATGTCTTCCGACTTTGAAGGCTATGAGCAGGACTTCGCAGTACTCACGGCTGAGATTACCAGCAAGATTTCGAGGGTCCCCCGACTCCCGCCTGGTAAGAGCCCTGCCCCGGCAGGGCAGGGGCGGCGTGGGGAGCCGGGCTGCTGGGCGCCGCCTGGGCCAGTGGAGGCGGGAGGCCGGTGGGGGCGGTGGTGTGTCCCCCGGGATAATGGGACTCCAAGGTAGGTTGTGGGGAGCAATTGAAAAGAGGCTTCGGAGTCTGAGCTATCTGGGTTCGAATTCGACTCCATCGCCTTGTAATTTGCATAATCTTTGAGACGTTTCTGAGTCTTAAATTTTTCGTTTTATAATAGGAAGATGTTAAATGTTCAAAAACTGAATGAAAGTACCAATGCCACGTTCGGCAATATACAACATCATTGTGGTGTTATTAATACTAATATTATTATAGTACTATTTACTATAATAGTATTATATGCGGCAAATAGAGTTAAGGGCCAGGATGACTGAACTCAAATTCCAACTCTGCCACTTAGAAGTTGTCTCTTAGGCAAATTTCTTAACCTGTCTTCCTAAAATGGAAAGACTTGTGCCTCTCTCACTAGATTGTTGTGAAATTGAATGATAAAACATACGTAAAGCCCTTGTATGTTAGCTGCTATTATAATTATTATTTTTTGTGTCTCCCTCATTTCGTGCTTTTCATCCTTCTTGGGAGTTTAAAACCCAACTTTATGTAAAGCTTGGTACTGGATAATTTTGCTTACTTTCAAAATTCCGTGTTTACCATCAGGAACTGTTTTTGTGTTTTAGCATGCCTTATTTACCATGGTAGGTTGTGATCGTGGGGCTGTGTCTGATTTTCTTGGCATCTATTTACTAAGGGCTTAGAAAAATGTTTCAGCAAATGAGCAGATGACTGTAATATATTTTGTGACTTGTGTTGTAAGATACTGTTTTAGGATTTTTTTTTCTGTAAGTTCAGATTTGAGTAGCTAATTACAGATAAGAGTTTTGCTGTTTGGTTTAGTTTTGTTAGGGAAGTTGAACTATGTATCATTGGGCTGCTGGACTTGACCCTACTGAAACTCTGGGATATGAACTGAAGAAAAGAGGATGCTGGTCGATCTGCAGACTTGTGGGCAACTTCACTTTCTCACTTGTCAGTCAAGTCCTTGATGCCAGCAATCATTTCTCTTGGGCCTAACTTGTCATTCCTCTTTTCCTTTCCTTACTTTCTCCCAAACTTCGTGTTTATAAATAATTTTCTTTCTTTATTTCCTTGTTTTTCTTTTCCCCCACCTATTTTCTGTTAATAGGGATATTTGCTTGAAGCCAGGATCTCTGAACTTACACCCCACTCATCTCCTGAAGTTCGGGTTAGTTCTGGAAAAGGTGGATGATGTCTTAAAGAGGTTTATGAGTCCAAGTAAGGGAACAAGAGGAGAGAACCAAGGTAGCATATACCTCCAAGCTCTGCTGCCTCAGAGAGTTTTGTGGAGAAAATGTATGATGGCCTCATCACTTCATGATACAGGACCTCGCCTCTTCTCTTCAGTTCTACTTTTCTCCACTGCCCAAGATCATCTTGATTTTGTTGACATTGTGATCACAGACTACTTTCTTTGAATTGAGTCCCAGAACCTCAAACTGTCAGGATTTTTTATTTTTTCTCATTTTAAATTGTAATGGTTTTAAGCAATAGAAACATTTGTTTATGCTAGTAGTTTTAGTAATGGGAAACTGTTTTACAAAGTAACAGTCATTCCCAGGTGCTAATTTGAAAAAACTATTTACAAGAAAATAGATTTTGTTTTTCTTGTCTTTATATTTTAATGTAACAATTCTTAACACATAGAAGGAAACATATGAGTTAAGTACTTAAACATAAAGCTCATGCCTCTTCTTAACTGTAGTATAATGTGAGGCCCAAACACAGCTGCTATATTAAATTTGAAAGGAGATTATTGATAGCACTGGAAAAATGCTTGCTTAATTAAATAATTAAGTAACTCTTAAAAAAAAACAGTGGTTTCCCTCTTAATAATGACTTGTGCTTGCTCCCTTTATAATCTGCTTCTAATTGATAAATAGAAAAAGATTTAAAAATTTATTTGGTTTGAACTTCAAATGTATGTCTGTGGACTAACAGAAATTAATATGTGTAACTATGGCAAAGCTATTAAAATAATTATAATATCGCTTTCTGGGCATAATTAGTGGCAGTGGTGGTCAGCTAAAATTGGCCCAGAGGAAGTGAACTATAATTTACTTACTTAAGAAGGTTAAAAAAATGGAGCAAACTTTCAAGCCAAAGAAGTTCATTCCACACGTATTATTTTATTTAAATTGAAGCAGAGTAGGTAGGATCTATTGAAATGAACTTTACTGTCTGGTGTGCATTTGCAATGTATCTGTGCTACTTCCAAGTAGAATAGAGAAGATTGGATATTTTAAAACTTTATTTTAAATGAGAAATTTGATTATCCTGTGATTTTTTTAACAATAAAAAACTTTGCTCTTTGATTAAAGTGTTTGCATCTTAACTAATTTTAGTAATTGTACTTTTGAAATGTGAGTCACTTAATGAAAACTCTGGTACTTTATTTGAAAATTGATTTTTTAATGATTACTTCTGTGGGAAAGTAAGAAAAATTAATGAGCAGAAACCACAATTAATACTTTATTGTGACATTCCAGTACATTTGTATGTGGGGAATAGTTTGCACATTTGCAGTGGTTCCTTTACATCAAACAGACTTCTTAAAGGATCTTAAGGTTTTATTTTGCTATGACTTCTTACTTCACTTTTCACAGAGACATAGATGGTCTATTGTGAACCACTTTGTGGTTTTAGTAAGAAATATACCAAAAAAGATTATGGCAAAGTGATTAAGACCTAGACTGCTGGGTGTTTGACTGCAGATTTGTTTAGAATCCCGGTTCAGTCTGCTCATGGACAGACTGCTTGACTTCTTTAAGCCTGCCTTTTCTATCTTTAGAATGAGCAGGAAGGGAAAATACTTTAACCTTATAATGTTATAAAAATCAAATGAAATAAAGCGTGTAGCACACTGGCTTAGTTCTTGCACAGAAGAAGTATGTGATAAACTAGCCTCGCTTTTTTTGCTGTCATTACTGCTGCTGGAAACAGCAGTGGGTAGTGTTGGCTAGCACCCAGCTCTTCAGACTCTGTCATCTTCATTGCACCCTTAAAGGAACTTTGAACCTCAATTCTTCCTTTTGGTGCCTAAACTAGAGTGAGGTTAAATTCTCTTGATGAAGACCTACACTTGAAGAAAAGGGAATTGGTCAGGAGCTTTTGGACATGAAATTGGAATTTGAACTCAGGACATCAAGAACGGAATCAAAGAGAAGTGATAGTGATGATGGGGGCAAGACAAGTGTCTTCTATAAGGAAATGCTCAAGTCTAATGGGTTAGGTATGCAAACCCTGGAAGATTTAGGAGACCACCTAAATAGTCATGTATTAATGAAGCCATAACATTGCTACATAATTATCTTTTGCTTTTGAAAAGTAGATGTAGGGAGAGAATTCAGAAGATTCTTCTTTAAACTATGAATTCAGTCGATACCTGGTGTCCTGGAATGTGGTTGCGAGGAGACCACCACTGAGGAAAAACCTCAAATGCTCAGGATGCCTTAGAATTCGGAACTGAACTCAGATGCTGATTCACTTTCCCTGTAATGCAGCTCAACTTATGCTAAAGATACATAGCCTTTCAACAAATCTAAAATTTTCACTTTGTCACTTAAAATGGTACTTTTGGAACACCATTTGCTTTTTTGTGAGGCATGTTTTCACAAAGTTAAGGACAGGGGAACACTCAGCATTATTACCCAACAATTTAAACACTACTGGTGATAACACAGGAGAGACAGCTTCTCTGCATCAACTGAACTGCATAATGCTTTCATGGAGAGTTTCTTTCTTTCTTTCTTTCTCTTTCTTTCTCTCTTTCTCTCTCTTTCTTCTTTCTTTCCTTTTTTTCTTTCTTTCTTTCCTTTTTTTCTTTCTTTAACTATACTTGATCAAAACCCTGTGTAATAAATTGGCAAATAAGGCAGGCTTAGTACTCTGTGGTTTGCTTAAATATTTGTGGCTGTAGAGCTCTAATGTCTACAGGTATCTATTGAGCACTTGAAATGTGTCCACATAATGAAATGCTAATATTTTGGATATATTTGGTTAAATAATATTACAACTAAAAGCATATTATTTAATGTAATTTCACTTGTTTTTATTTTTTTAAGCTGCAGCTACTAGAAAGTTTTAAATTACATGTGTAGTTTGCGTGACATTTTTGTTGCTCTAGATAGTTAGAATAGAATGGCTGGGTCCAGTCCTAACTCAGCAGCTCACTGCCACCAGGGACAGTTTGCCCCTTGTTAGGAGTCCAGCTCTTCACAATAAGCTCATGAGCTACTGGGCAAGGTCCAGCTTTTTCAGTTGAGCATGCAGGGAAAAACAGCCTTCAGCTATAACTGATGGCCCAGTATGTCTCATCAAAAATTTAAATACTTAGGGAATTTTATTCATCTTTGAGTAAGATACAAATAAACATGTATTTTGAATATATATAGATTTAATATATATTTATATTTATATATATGTGTGTACCCATCTATCTATCATCTACACACACCCACACACACACACACAGTTTCTAAACTAATCCCAGAGTGACTTTCCACCTTTCAAGAATTTAGTTAATCTAAGTTATGGCTTCATTGTTTGTTTTTGTTTTTGTTTTGACACAGGGTCTCACTATGTAGTCTAGGCTGGCTCATCGTCCTCCTGTCTTGGCCCCCCAAGTGCTGTGATAACAGACATGTCCCACCACATCTGGCTCTGATTTTTTTTGTTTAACTTTTTTTTTGTGGTGCTGGGGATTGAACCCAGAGCCTTGCTTATTATAAGCACATGCTCCTCTGAGCTACACCCACAGCCCTAAAAGTTTTTAGAATAGATGAAATTTATAGAAAAATCACAGAAATAGAGAATCCTCATATACCCTAGTTTTCCCTATTATTAACATCTTTCCTAAATCGAATGCATTTACTACACCTGGT